GCAGGGAGAGAGGCAGGAGAGAGGTAGAGAGAGAGGTAGTCAGAGAGGCCCCATGCCAGGCAGGTAGCATGGTAGCAAGAGAGGCAGCCAGAGAGGCACCATACAGGGTGACCCACCATCAGGCAGTCCCACCCCATCCAATAAGTCATTTTGCAGCCAGCCATCCATTCCCATGGCAGTATGGCACACCCAGCAGGCACAGGCCCAGCAGTGGGCCGCCATGGATATCCAGCAGCAGCAGCATCGGACCCAGCAGGGTTTGGATGAGGAGATGGCCCAGGCCAAATGCATGCAGTGGCAGGACCAATGTTATATATACGCCATGCAGGGGGTGATGGTGGCCATAAGTTATATGCATGTCATCAGCCCCACAGCCAGGCCGCACGGGCATGGATGATCCACGTGCATCAGCAAGTGCAATACACGCCATATAGCGCGTGTTATTCATGCGGTATGCCCCAATCCATATGCCATGGGTGGGAGCCAGGCCACGCATGCAATTACCTGCGGGTTTTTGATCCCCATGGTGGCCATGATTGTTATTCAGGCCAATGGCAAGGGCCAGATCAGAGCCGCATATGGCAGCGGCTGGTTGCAGGAGAAATGGGGTTGATGGTAGGATGAGGCCCAGGTGGTCCAGTTTTTAGGGCAGGCGCACCCCAACCACGAGGGGCACAGCCAGTTATTTACATCATTTTTTGGTTATGGCGGTTATGTCAGGAGATCGAAGGTCGATCAGCATTGATATATTTGGAATGAATATATATTTTAGTATACCATAATGCGCAGAGATATATATTATACGGTTGGTTTATATAGTATGTTAGCTGAATTTAGTGGTTTATACATATGCATATATATAATATCAACCATAGTTATGATAGACATAGGTAGTAGGTAGGGAGGGAGCAAGAGAGACAGTAGGTAGATAGTAAGGTAGGCAGTGAGGTAGACAGGAAGGTAGATAGGAAGGTAGACAGGGAGGTAGACAGTAAGGTCATGCATGAGCAGGCAGCAAGACAGGCAGTGAGGTAGACAGAATGGGAGGCAGAATAGGAGGCAGAATAGGATGCAGAAGGGCAGGTCAAATAGCAGGGAGAACAGCAGGCAGTGAGGTAGTGATTAGGATAGCAAGCAAGGTAGTATAGTAGATTATAAGGCCCAGGAAGGTCATGCATGAGGCAGGCAGAACAGCAGGCAGAAAGTAAGACAGGTAGTGGGTAGATAGTGAGGTAGACAGCGAGGTAGACAGCGAGGTAGACAGCGAGGTAGACAGTGAGGTAGACAGCAAGGTAGACAGCAAGGTAGATAGCAAGCAGGTAGTAAGATAAGCAGTAAGGCAGGTAGTAAGGTAGGCAGTGAGGCAGGCAGTGAAGGAGGTAGTAAGGCAGGTAGTAAGGCAGGCAGCATAACAGGCAGTAAGACCAGCAGGAAGAACCCAGTAAGATAGGTAGTATAGTAGATAGTAAGGCAGGCAGTGAAGCAGGTAGTAAGGCAGGTAGTAAGGCAGGCAGCAAGACCGGCAGTGAAGCAGGCAGTAAGATAGGTAGAATAAGGCCCAGGTAGTCCAGGTGGTCCAGGGTTTTAGGTTAGTGCATCCCAACCATGAGGGGCACCGCCAGTTATTTATATTATTTTATTTAGTACAGCAGTTATGTCAGGAGATCAGGTTGATCAGCATTAATATATTAATAAATGAATATATATATTTCAGGATACCATAATGCGCAGAGATATATATTATACATTTAGTTTATAGAGTATGTTGGCGAATCCATAGTTTATACGCAGGGATATATATATAAGTGATATATCAGGGAATATATATCATATTAACCATAGTTAGGAGAGAGGTAGGTAGCAAGGTAGACAGTAAGGTAGATAGTAAGGTAGATAGTGAGATAGGCAGTGAGGTAGGCAGTAAGGCAGGCAATGAGCAAGGGGGGCAGCAAGCCAGGCAGTGAGTGAGGGGGCAGCGAGCAAGACAGGCAGTGAGCAAGCCAGTTAGTGAGTGAGGGAGGCAGTGAGATAGTAAGCTAGATAGTGAGATAGGTAGTGAGTGAGCCAGGCAGTGAGCAAGTGAGGCAGTGAACAAGCCAGTCAGTGAGCAAGCCAGTCAGTGAGCAAGCCAGTCAGTGACTAAGCTAGCAAGCAAGGCAGCGAGTGAGGGAGTCAGTGAGCAAGCTAGCTAGTGAGGCAGGCAGTGAGCAAGCCAGTTAGTGAGCAAGGGAGGCAGTGAGCGAGCCAGGCAGTGAGCAAGCCAGGCAGTGAGCAAGCCAGGCAGTGAGTAAGTGAGGCAGTGAGTAAGGGAGGCAGTGACCGAAGCAGTGAGTAAGGGAGGCAGTTAGTGAGTGAGGGAGGCAGTGAGATAGTAAGCTAGACAGTGAGATAGGTAGTGAGTGAGCCAGGCAGTGAGCAAGCGAGGCAGTGAACAAGCCAGTCAGTGAGTGAGCTAGCAAGCGAGGCAGCGAGTGAGGGAGTCAGTGAGCGAGCTAGCTAGTGAGGCAGGCAGTGAGCAAGCCAGTCAGTGAGCGAGGCAGGCAGTGAGCAAGGCAGGCAGTGAGCAAGCCAGGCAGTGAGCAAGTGAGGTAGTGAGTGAGGGAGGCAGCGAGCAAGGGAGCAAGCAAGTCAGGCATTAAGGCAGGCAGTGAGGGAGGCAGTGAACGAGGGAGGCAGGCAGCGAGCAAGTTAGGCAGTGAGCGAGCGAGGCAGTGAGTAAGGGAGTCAGTGAGCGAGGCAGTGAGCGAGGGAGGCAGTGAGTGAGCCAGCTAGTGAGGCAGGCAGCGAGCAAGGCAGGCAGCAAGTAAGGCAGTAAGTAAGGCAGGCAGTGAGTAAGGCAGTAAGACAGGCAGTGAGATAGATAGTAAGATAGATAGTAAGATAGATAGTAAGATAGATAGTAAGGTAGACAGTAAGATAGATAGTGTAGTCAATAGTAAGGTAGGTAATAAGGTAGATAGTAATTATAAATAGCATAGTAGATAGTAAGGTTAATAGTAAGGTAAGCAGTAAGAGAGGTAGTAATATTAGTAGATTAAGATTAGTTAGTATCCATATATCAAGTAATAGATATATATTAGGAGATCAAGGTTAATTAGGATTAATATATTAAGTAAATAAATATATATATTTTAGGATACCATAATAGCAGCAGAGATATATATTATATATTTAGTTTATATAAATATCCAAATCCATGGTTTATACATCCATATATATATATATAATTAGGTATCAGGGGGATATCACCATAGTTAGGAGAGAGATAGTTAGTAAGGTAGATAATAAGATTAATAGTATAGTAGATAGTGAGGTTAACAGTAAGGTTAATAGTATAGTAGATAGTAAAGTGAATAGTAAGGTAGATAGCAAGGTTAATAGGAAGGCAGGCAGCAAGAGAGGTAATAATATTAAGAGATTAAGGTTAGTCAGCATTAATATATTAGTGAATGAATATATATAATTTGGGATACCATAATGCTCAGAGATATATATTATAGAGTTAATTATAGAGTATATTAGCTGAATCCGTGGTTTATACACAGGCATATATATATATAATATTAGCCACATTCAAGAGAGAGGTAGGCAGTGAGATAGGCAGTGAGAGAGATAGTAAGGTAGCCAGCAAGGCAGGTAGCAAAGGAGGCAGTGAGCAAAGCAGTAAGTAAGGCAGTAAGCTAGATAGTGAGCTAGATAGTGAGGTAGATAGTAAGTGAGAGAGGCAGTAAGGGAGGCAGGCAGTAAGGCAGTGAGGTAGATAGTGAGGTTGACAGTGAGGTAGATAGTGAGGTTGATAGTGAGGTAGATAGTAAGATAGATAGTGAGTAAGGTAGCTAGTGAGACCAGCAGCAAGACTGGAAGTGAGCAAGGCAGTAAGGCAGTGAGCAAGATAGTAAGCTAGACAGTGAGCTAGACAGTGAGTGTAGCAGTGAGAAAGGCAGTGAGTGAGATAGCAAGACAGGGAGTAAGTAAGATAATAAGGGAGGCAGTGAGATAGGGAGTAAGTGAGGTAGCAAGATAGGGACTGAGGAGGGAGGCAGTGAGATAGGTAGTAAGGCAGGCAGTAAGCAAAGCAGTGAGCAAGGCAGTGAGTAAGGCAGTTAGTAAGATAGTGAGTGAGATAGTGAGCGAGTTAGTGAGGGGGGCAGTGAGTGAGATAGTGAGGGAGGCAGTAAGTGAGATAGTGAGGGAGGTAGTAAGTAAGATAGTGAGGGAGGTAGTGAGCAAGATAGTGAGTGAGATAGTAAGTAAGGTAGTGAGTGAGATAGTGAGGGAGGCAGTGAGTAAGACAGTGAGCAAGATAGTAAGTAAGGCAGTGAGTGAGATAGTAAGGGAGTAAGGTAGTGAGTGAGGTAGTAAGCAAGATAGTGAGCAAGATAGTAAGTAATATAGTAAGGGAGGCAGTGAGCAAGACAGTAAGTAAGATAGTGAGGGAGGCAGTGAGTGAGATAGTAAGTAAGATAGTGAGGGAGGTAGTGAGTAAGACAGTGAGTGAGATAGTAAGTAAGGCAGTGAGTGAGATAGTGAGTGAGATAGTGAGGGAGGCAGCAAGCAAGACAGTAAGGGAGGCAGTGAGTAAGATAGTAAGGGAGGTAGTAAGTAAGATAGTGAGGGAGGTAGTGAGCAAGACAGTAAGTAAGATAGTAAGTAAGGCAGTGAGTGAGATAGTGAGTGAGATAGTGAGGGAGGCAGCAAGCAAGACAGTAAGGGAGGTAGTAAGTGAGATAGTGAGGGAGTGAGGCAGTAAGTAAGGTAGTGAGTAAGATAGTAAGTAAGGCAGGCAGTGAGTGAGTGAGGGAGGCAGCAAGATAGGTAGTAAGTAAGATAGTAAGTGAGTCAGGCAGTAAGGTAGACAGTAAGATAGATAGTAAAACAGGCAGTAAGATAGGTGGTAAGACAGGTAGTGAGGTAGATAGTAAGATAGATAGCAAGGTTAATAGTTAGGCAGGCAGTAAGAGAGGCAGTAATATTAGGAGATTAAGGTTAATTAGTAGTAATATATGAATAAATATATATATTTTAGGATACTATAATGCGTAGAGATATATATTATACAGTTAGTTTGAAGAGTATGTTGGCTGAATCTGTGGTTTATATGCAGGCATATATATATAAATAAGACATCAGAGAATACATATAATATTAACCACATTCAGGAGAGAAGTAGGCAGTGAGATAGGCAGTAAGGTAGTTAGTAAGTGAGGCAGTAAGTAAGAGAGGTAGTGAGGGAGGCAGTGAGGGAGGTAGTAAGATAAGTAGTGAGGTAGATAGTAAGGTTAACAGTAAGGGAGGTAGTAAGTAAGATAGTAAGGGAGGTAGTAAGATAGGCAGTGAGCAAGGTAATAAGGGAGCTAGCAAGTGAGATAGCAAGATAGAGAGTAAGTAAGGCAGTGCATGAGATAGTAAGGGAGATAGTAAGATAGGTAGTAAGATAATAAGTAAATAGATAAGTAGGGTAGTAAGATAGTAATGCAGGTAAAAGGCCCCAAGGAGATTATATATTAGGTAGACCATAAGGTAGATAAGAGATAGAGAGGGAGGTATTTAGTAAAATAAGGAGAATAGGCAGAAGGTAAGAGGTAGTAAGGAGAATAAAGTAAGGAAGGATAA